TAGATGATCAAAATTGTAAATGTAAAATGTAAAGACATGACTTTGGCTCAAAGTCTAATCTATAAGCCTATTTGCCCTAGACACATCTGCCTTAAGTGGACATAGTGAGAAAGCACAACTTGACTGGAAACTAACTAGTTATGTGACTTGCTTTGGTAAGTGACTTATGCTTTCTTGACCAGTTTCATCGTATGTTGAAATATGAAATAATTACGAAATTATTCTCATATCTTTATGAGAATAAAGATATTATCAGTTCTTCTTGCTTCACAAGATTATTAAAAATATTACATAAAGAATGTATATTATGAAGCATGACATAAATCATGGTTCTCTTATGATTGCTGGTCTATCTTTAGATCTAAATGTTTTTAGAAAAAAGTCTGCAACATTTTTAATCACACATAATCCAATTAATTTAAAATTAAATAGTAAAACAAAGAGGAAACATCTCACTGAAGTCTCCCTAGACCCAAAGATCTTAAGAGAAAGCAAAGCAGCCAAATGCTGACCAGGGTGTGGGCCTCTTGACTCTCCTTCCACTGGTGGGAGAGTGGTCAACCAAGAGTGAGATAAGGGCTGACGAGAATGCATCACAGTAGACGAGAGGGGACTTGTACTGCTGACATACACATAATTACAGAATTTAACTGCTTAGTTAGAACTTTGGTGATTATGTAACGTACATCTGCCAGAGTGCCCTAGAATCCCCCTTAAACGTAGTGGGCATTCAGTGTCTCTGGAATGAATGAATGTGCTATATGAGTAAATCAAATTCTTCAAGGTGACTTACCAAGATACATAATGTAAGTAGAACCAAGACCAAGCCCAAGACAAGAGAAGTCCAACCCAGAATTCTCTACAGGCTGCTGTCGTTGATACAGGCTATGCTAACACTGATTTTAGAAAGATGTAACCGTAGGAACTGGGCACCTTAGCCTATTTCTTTTCACTAAGTTGTGATGCTAATAAGATCCAGAATCTGGTAAGAACATCCCTTTTAATTACCATGAAGAGTTGACATCTACAGAGATAAATCTAGATTCAGTAGTTAGGGTAAATGAAAGGTTGCATGTGCCAATAAGACTAGAGTCCCCCAAAAGCTTTGATTCTCAGCAGCTGGGAAGGAGCGGTGTCTAAGCTGTAGGATCTACACATGGGAAGAGAACGGTGAGGTCAACATCTCTAGCGTTCAGTTCATGCACATTCTGTTTGACCATGCCTCATGTTCACACTATTTGGTTCTGAACTATTTTAAAAATATATAGAGGTACAAATATATAAAATGGAAATTGTATATATATTTATTTTTTAAATGATATACATAACAATATAGTAAAGTACATCATTACTAATTTTTTTTTCTCACAATTGGTGCTATTACTTGTGCTCATCCAAGGAGAAAGGGTGCAACAATCTGTTTTACTTTCAGCAGCAAACATTAACAGGAAAGACTGCCTGTGTGCTCAGCAATGAGCATTCACTATCTTATCGATTGTTCAGTGCAACCAGTGGGATTATGCTTCACTTTATGCCACTTATTTACTGCCTGACAACTTTTCTTGAACTATAAAACTGTACAAGTGACAATCCTATATCTGTCTACCACAAAGAATTAAAAAATCATATAGTTTTGGAAATTAGTAAATACTTAGAACTGATTGATAATACACCATATGAAAACTTATTGTAGTACTGAAAGTGAAACTTGCAGACTTACCTTGTATATTTGAAAAAGATATACTAACAATTAATGAGCTAAGCATGAAATGCAAGAAGTTAGAAGACTGCATAATTAACACAAAGAAACTAGAAAGAAGAAAGAAAATTTATAGTAAGAGCAGATATTAAACGTAATAGAAAACAAAGATGCAATTAGATAAAGCCTAAAGTTGTTTCAAACCTCTGGAAAGCTTTATCAAGAGAAAAAAATACAAAACTAAATAAAATTAAGAATGCAAAAGGGATTTCACTACGGATTTAGTGAAGATGAAAAACGTATTTAAGAGTTTTATGAACAACGGGATGGATTACCTAGCAAATTGAACACATGCATGTCATAAAACCAGCAATTCCACTGTGGTACAAACTCCAAAAAAAACTTGCACACATATCCCACTCAAACATGTCAGAATTCAGCTTGTGAGGAGGAATAAAGAGGTCTAGATTGTTCTGTGGCAAAGGATGGTCTCTCCTTGGTGACTGCTACTTAAAATTGGAGTTGATACATCAGCAGAAGCAATTAGCCAAAGTTCTGGGACTACAGTCCCCTAGTTGTAATGGATAAGTGCTAACTTGGCTTCCCAAGAGCTTGGAAACAGCAAGAAAGAGGGCTGCTATACACTGGAAGGAAGAAACCCTCAAGAGTGCTGTTTTCTGAGTCCTCCTCTTTGGCAAGCTGAGAAGTGGCAAGATGTTGAGACAAGTCATCACTGCACTGCTGTGATTTAGGCTGAGGAAACTTGTAAGCACATTTCCTACTTGAGGATTTGTATTCCAGAGATGGAGTAGCTACAGTTACACTTTTGTATATAACAGCAGAATGCTAAAAGCTGTTTGCAAAGGTGTTCTTTCCTCCCTGTAACTTTACTGAGTAAGAAATTACTATTTAGCTACATTTTGATGAAGCAACAAAGACAGTGTGTCATTGGTGTGCTGCCATTCTAAGAGCAGATTTTTGCAAACTGTATCTTCTCCCTTTAAGGATAAGATGAAGTTTATTTTTTCAGGGCTTTAAAACTTTTTTCTCAGTCATCATTTCATATTGTGAATGACCACTCTAAATACACCATAACTCTTACATTGAGAAATTCTGCAAAAGGTGGACTATTCTCTTGTATGTGAGATTGAAAATTCAAAAAGTTTTGCAAATTTCTACCAGAAACAATATCATCTCTTCTAATAGTGCACAAGCAATTTTTTTTCTCTACTCTGCAATATGGGTGTTAAGCTGCCTAATTGTAAAGTCCTTGATCTTAGCTCCTTCTTTTAGCACTTAATTGATTACTACCCTCAATGATTTTATAGATTTTCTTTGGATTTTATGCTAGGTAGGTATTTATTTTCTAAACTCAAAATTACTTAAAGATTAATATAAACTGCTGTTAGGTATTTATTTACTTCCTAAACTCAAAATTACTTAGAGATAAATATAAACTGCAGTTTGTCAGTTTTGTCTTTTTTAGTTAAAATGTTGCTATTGTTAACACATTTTTTTCTCTTCATTTTGTGTTCAATAAATAGTTCTATTTGGGGTATAGATGGCAAATTCAATTCCTCAGCTAGACTTAGAGGAACAATGTAGCATATAATGTTCTGACAAATAGGGCCATGAAATTTAAAAATGATTTTTAAGAATAGGATATTTTTTCTCAAAAGTAGCTTAAGGGAAATGATTTTCATATTTCCAAATCTTAAAGCATCCCCAGCAAATAAATGGAGTTTGACACATTCTACACGTGTAGATTTTTTTTTTTTTAAAGATTTTCATTTACTTATTTGACAGAGAGAAACACAGCGAGAGAGGGAACACAAGCAGGGGGAGTGGGAGAGGGAGAAGCAGGCTTCCCGCGGAGCAGGGAGCCCAATGTGGGACTCAATCCCAGGACCCCGGGATCATGACCTGAGCCAAAGGCAGACGCTTAACGACTGAGCCACCCAGGTGCCCCCATGTGTAGATTTTTATAACTTTGTATGTTAACCTGGAAGATCTCCTGAACAGCAGAGATTTTCAGGGAAAGGCTAGATGAAACCTTGATGAGAATATTATAGATAGAATTTAGGCATCAAATGAGTGATTCAGTTAATGATCTTGAAAGTCACTTCCCTCCCTGAGAATTTCTATCATTAGATTTATGAGCATAGTGGAGAATTAACTTGAGGACCTGCTGGCCTACTTTGACTTATGAATTTAGAAGACTTACTCATACGAATACAGTTTTTTTTTTCAGGTACCCTATTAAAATATTATTATAAAGTTAATTGAACAATAACCCTGTACAAAAACAGTATTAAATTTAATTTGCCTCCACAACCAGCATATTGTGGACAGTCTCTTTTATGTGCGGGTAAAATGAACTATCCTGTTTTGAGCTGGTGGGCAAGAGAGCCCCCTTGAAAGACCCTGACTGATTGGATCATTCAGTCAGCCATGGTAAACCCTTCCTGTTAGTGAGGAGAAGTAGTTTGGCAGTTAACTGCAGGTGCCTGGGAACCTAGCCTCCATCCCTGCCTGATTCTGCAGGTGGGGTAAGTTTTTCATACCTTTCTGGGTCTTTGATGCGCCTTCGCGGGCAGACTGTTTTCAAATCTACCTCACGATGACTGTGTAACTTGTGCATCTTTAAAAAATAAACTGTGATATCTGGGGGAGAAGTCAGTTCTCCCTTAAGGGAAAATTTTCATAGTTTTATGTTTCAAGTTGGACTCAACTTGAGTTGTTAACTACTGTGGCATCACTGAGTTTTGGAACAAAGCAATTGATTCAGGATAAACTATTTCAAATTTTAAAAAACAATTAATTTATTTTTCCTTTCACCCACAGGTCTACCCACGGATAGCGCCGGCATTTTGGCACTACCTGCGGGTAGAAGTGAGTAGCGGGTACTTGATTTCTCCCACCCTTGCGCCTTGCACTCTGCTGGTGTGGTCTGATCTGATGCGCCCATTTTGCTCCCGGTGCAGCTGCCATTCTGTGTGAACGTGCTCTCACGCCACCACCATTCCTTAGAGTTGGATCAGAAATCCAAATCACCAAAACTCCAAGTGCAAGTTTATACAAGATAATCATCTTTCTTAATAAATTTCCGAATCAAGACCATATCATATGCATCATAATGATAAATAACTAAATGCTAAATTTTGGAAAACCATGCTTACACCTCTCTTTAATCAATATTTTTGATATTCAGAGCATAATTCCTCAGCTTAACTTGGGACTGTTTCTAGGAAAAAGTGGAATAACTCTGCTTCATCTCCTTTCTCCTCTTCTCTATCCCCAGGAGCATGAGCAGCTCACCTACTCCTCCACAAGGTCCAAGGCACCCAGTGTTATCATCACGGGCCTCAAGCCGGCCACCAAGTACATATTTCATATCCGAGTGAGGACTGCAACAGGATACAGTGGCTACAGTCAGAAGTTTGAATTTGAAACAGGAGATGAGAGTAAGTTTTACACAAACATATAAAATCAATTAATTTAGTACTATTCCAATCTGACCTGATAGTTGAAAATCTAATGTCCCCAATTGTGAATAGTCTCATCAAACAGGATTCTGTTCATGTAAATACCCATATAGTCATTTTGGTTAATGTTTTGGTGCTATCATTAAATACCTCCATGAAATGCCTTACTCTACCACAATTGTAATGTGGCCCAAATATATCTCTTTATGCAGAATTCATTACTCATGCTATAACATAGAGTCTCAATGGGCAGTGTTAGCCTAATTGCTTGCTAGTCTTGGCATCATAATATGATACTAATGAAAACTTGGAAGAGAATAAAGCCATGAGCAAATGATTTTAGCAGTTAGTTCAAAATTGTGCAGCTTTGGCTTGTTATCTCAGGTCAATAAAAAACAGTGGTCAGGAGAAAAACTCCACTGAAATGTACATTATAAGTTTAAATATAGACACATGGGCTTAATTAGAAACTCAAATTAGTTCCATAGCCTCGACGTGCTGAAAATAAAAATGGGAGACGAGGGGAGTGAGGTGTTCCAATGTCACGTAACATAGGCTCTGAAATGTTTTATTTAGTCTGAATCCTGCTCTACCATTGAATTTGGTTTTTTGCTTTGAGAAATCTATCTTACTGCTACTTTGTAAAGATAATATGGGTGGCTTTTGCAATGTTCCTCTATGGAAAAATGTCCAAATATCTAATTATAATAAAAATTTGTCCCCATCATTGCTAAAATACCCATATTTATATAAGAATTCAAGAATAGCAAATATATTATAAAAAATTCTTTATAAATAACAATAATAGCTACCACTTATTGAGCTTCTAATAAGTGCCAGAAATTATGTATTTTATATATATTATTCCATTTAAACCTTTCAACATCCAATAACACCAGTATGATTTTTCTAATTTTACTCAACAAACTGAGGGTTCTAGAGGGGAGGAGGGTGGGGGGATGGGTTAGCCTGGTGATGGGTATTAAAGAGGGCACGTTCTGCATGGAGCACTGGGTGTTATGCACAAACAATGAATCATGGAACACCACCTCAAAAACTAATGATGTAATATATGGTGATTAACATAACAATAAAAAAATTTAAAAAAAAGAAAAGAGAATTCTAGAGAAATAGAGCTCTTTGTCTAGATATATGCAACTAGTAAGAAGCTAAGCTAAAATTTGAAACTGAGGGCTACCTTTTTCCAAGGCCTGTGCTCTGAACTACTCCACCATCATGCCAAGTTCTTTCATTTGAATTATTAAAAAGTTCTAATGGTAAGATCATGAAACAGGCCACAATTCCTCTAGTTTGTCACTCCCTCAAAATGAAGCTGTTTGGATTTCAAATTCTGTGACGGAAGGAGTGTTGTTTTTACACTGATGAACAGTATCAATTCATAAGAATGTCCTCATTGTAACTATATCTCACTAAAAAGTGGAAGAGAGCCAACATAATTAAGAATACACAGCTTAGGAAGAGAGAGTAAACTAATGAATAAAAAGAACACGTATAATCTGGATGTGTAATATCAGTGATGATCATTTATAATCATGCTGGAGACTATTGGCTTCTCAAGCTAGAGATGAAATTATTGGTAGTAGAGTGTAATTATCAAAAAAAAACATAGCTTCATAATTAAGAACAATATAAAAATATTCAAAGTGCCATTCCTGCTATGTCCTGTTGGCTCTTTCTCCCCTGCTCCCATGTCAACACTTTGCCTTAATGCAGAGCCAGGGGATGCAATTCAAGGGAAGTTTGGTCTTGGGAAGAGTCCTGTCATTGTGTCGTCCAGGCTGTGTACCACATCCCTGCATCTGAGTTCTCTCATTTTCTTTCACAGATGAAGAAATTTATCTTTTCTAAAAGTATGACGTTTTTGAGTATTACATCAAGTCAAAAATATATTCTCAGACAAATATATAGGGCTAAATCTAGATAAGCCATTTGTGTTTATCTGGGACTTCTAGAGAAAACAATTTAGTCTAATTAAAAAAAAAGTTCTGATCTAAATATGAAAAATTTAATTTAACTCTAAATTTCAACTCATTGTACTTTCAGGACTATCATTCTTTCAGATGTTATATAAAAGATACATACTTTGATATTACTTATCAGAAAAGGTCCCATGCTCACCAATGACCCAGTATAATATTTATTCATCCAACAAAAATGGATAGGACACTTAATATGTGCCATACCCTGTGTGAGGCTCTGGGGATTAAAAAAGTAATAATAAGACCAACAGCCTTCACATAATTTATAGTCTAGATTTGTGGGAAGAAAATGAAAATTTAAATAAAAAATACAAGGTTAGCGAACATCGTGTACTATCATACAAATATGCAAAGTGTGCTCTGAGAGCATAGAGAAGAAATCCTAGTTTAGCATGAATGGGTCATGAAGGTGTCAGTTGGAAGGTGAGAAGATGGGGCTCATTCTTGAAAGAGGAGTAGTAAGAGAACAGGAAAGACACTGAGGCCTGAAATAGCATGAAAAATTTAAAGAAGAGCAAATAATTTGGTGTGGCTGCAGTGAGGAGACAAAAAGGTGAAATGGTGGGAACTGAAGGCAGAGAGTTAGACAAGGGCCAACATGAAGGTATTCTTTGGCCCCGTGAAGGATATTGAGCCTTCTGATGATACTGAGGAGCTGGGAGAGGGTTTTGATTAGGGAGTAACATGACCAGTAACAGGTGCAAGACCCTATACCGAGCAATTTACACAATTTGTCTTTTTAATTCTGACAAGATTATTTCTCCTTTTAGAAACATAAGTAGCTTTACCAAAATCTGGTAATTGGTGAGTGGAGGTACAGGATTAGAACCCTAGAACCATCTGACAATGGCTACAGCAGACAGCAAAAAACATGTTCCGAATCACTGATTCATAAATGACATGAAAGTTCCTTCTATTAGGTCCTTGAAGAGACAGAATGTCTCAGAAGAATCTGAAAAATGTGTTTGTCTAAACCTGGAATTTGGGTAAATAGAATGGCTCCCAAGTCAATTTACAGCCTAGAGGGAAAATCATCTAAAGGATCATTTTTTATCTGGTTAGTTTTAAATTGCATTTTCAAAGCATGCTGTTTATATCCAGAAGAGAATTTCAGCTAATGATGTCATAGTAGGATATGGTCAGGTTTACTATAAATTCAAGTGTATAATGATATGAATTCCAATCTCCAGCATCAGTGTTTTTCTCTTCATACCCTCCTAGATCATCTTTTAATTTTTATACCTTTTGTTTCCTGAGTAGTGCCTGAACTAAGTTCTCTCTTGTGCCTTCTATTTAATTAACTAACTTTACAATATATGCATAGAGATGGGGGTGGGTTGGGAAAGAGAGATGAGGTTCTCTCATTTGATGGTCTGGTTCAATTTTTTTTTTTTAAGTAAGCAAAGTGAAATACTCTATGATTTAATTCTCTCTAGCCATATCTGTTTTACTTGCTTCAACTTTTAGTTTGCCAACAAGACAGTAATATAAAATATGAAAAAACTCCTTTTCCAAAATCATAGTATTCTGAACCTACAAGTGTTCTATAAATATAGTGGCATCTGAATAACAATCACAGTCACTGCTCTTGCCCTTCCAGACCAGCAATTGGATTTTTTTACAGAGTCAGATTATGTAGTGGAAACTGGCTAAACAAATGTATAGATCACTAATCATGATTGCTAGCACTGTGAGAAGAGCCTACTCGACCTAGACCTGTTGATTTCTGCTCTCCCCAAGTCTATGGAATAACCTCATTACATATGTATATATGGAGAGATAAATAGATGACAAATAGATAGATGGGTAGATAAAGGTAATTAATTGATTGATAGATATATACATGAATAGGTAGATAATCACTCCTATATAGTCACAAAAGACTTTTTGTTTTAATGCTGGTATTTCACATGTCTGCTAATCTCTCTTTGACAAAGAATGTACAACTAAATATTATGTCCACTAACAGCATTTATTGAGTACCTATTATGTACTGGTCTTTTTATCAGGTACTGTAATTGATTCTCCCACCTTTTTAGAATAGATATAACAAAATTACAATAAACTACAGAATCAGTAGTAAGAAGGTAAGAATATATAAACATTCCATGTGGATCTTCTTGAGACAGGTGAAAGATCAGTGTCAGAAGCTAATATGAGAATTTTCTCAGTATTAAAATGAAATTCATATTAGGTGCAAAACTATCAAACACACACACACACACACACACACACACACACACACATTAAGTACTGACCTTTTTGGCTTATATGAATGAAACAATAGGAAATTTTAACCACCTTATATTTATTATAATTTTGCCCTTATTTTCTGGAGAAAATGTGCTTCTTTTCAATGGAGAAAAAAATAACAATTAAAATTAAAAAGTTATCTACATAGCCAGTAGTATCCATATCCTTGCAAACTTCTCAAAAAAGATGTTTGATATAATTTTTAGCAATAATAACATTACACCTATATTTTTTTAGAAAAAGAAATAAAAATAATTTAAAGATAAGGAAGTTAAACATTTGGTTATTTAAAACACTAAGACTTTTTTTAAAAAATTTATTTATTTGAGAGAGTTAGAAAGAGAGAACTGGGAGGGTGGGGAGAGGGAGGGAGAATCCCAAGTAGACTCCCCACTGAGCACAGAGCCAGACACAGGACTCAAACTCAGGACCCTGAGATCATGACCTGAGCTAAAATCAGGAGTCAGATGCTTAACCAACTGAGCCACCCAAGTCCCCTAACACACCAAGACTTATCTAATATTCAAATGTATTTTAGAGTAGCAGAAAGTAATTTCATGTGTACATCTTTTAAAATCCAAATAAAATATATCCATCTATATTGCAACCAACTTGAACATTTTACTTAAACACTGGAAGTGAACTTATGAAGCTATCAAAAGGGTGCAGAATCCATAGCTTAAAGCCAATTTTTGAGAGAAACCTGGAAATTTACATGTAGTAATT